AATTCTGTACAATGCAGTGTATTTAATATCAGAAAGCTATAGGTCTTTGTGGAAGGCACATATTATAAAATGCATCCTTTTTCCAAAAATCTTTCGTTTTCCAGCCACACCAGCCCTTATTTATTATGGTAGGCAAATGTTCTCCTCCTGTATAGTGTGGATCTAAAATCAAGAATTTTCCCTCTCCAGTCTGTTCATCGTAATTAACTCCTAGAATTGTATGAGCTAATATTCCTCCACCTATAAAACAAAAAAAAAACATACAGAAAGTTAATATCTAATATTTCAATATTTTAGATGTCTAATTTTAATTGTTTGTAGAAATGAAGAAACATAATTAAAACTTACCAATCATAACAGGTGTACCCTGTGTATCAAAATGATTTGCAAGTTGTGGAATTAAGGCTAACATCTCTTCTCCACTTGATGCACAAAGTATCTTGACATCTATATTAAGGAGAGTCTGCAGTACAAAACTTACTTCAGTTGAACCAATCCATTGTTTACTACCAAGAAAATCGAAAGATTTATCGCCTAAATCAATTAAACATTGTTGTATTTTGCGATGAGATGGTATTGGTACTTCACTATAACCCTGTAATCTATAGCAGATTGCAATTTATTCATATGTACATATATAATATTTCCACATTGCATGCACAATCTCTAGTTATCTTTGATCTTTTATTACCTGAACCATGAAATGATGGTTTGGAGAGATCTATAAGCACATCCCCATCCATTATCATCAAAATTATCTTGCATATAATGATGATACGAATACAAACCATCCACAATACTAAATTTTCCTGTAATACCTAATTAAAACAATAAAATACTACAATAATTGATAAACATTAATAAATTTGAAAGTATATAAATGAACTTTTATTTAAAATACCTTTATTTAAAAGAGCCTGATGAGGATTTATAAGTATCTCATTTGCCTGTGTGTCAAATTTGACAGCATTTCCTTGTCGAAAATGGGGTTTAGTCAAATCTAATGCTAAAGCCTTGTGTAAAGCCTTACGATATTCCACTGAAATTATATGACTGGTCTGTATAAAAGCAAATAGATGACACATATTACTATGATAACAAATTCGGTAATGTTAATTACATAATGATGATACAAGATATACGAATGATAAATTCCAATAGAATTTATTGCATGATTGACAAATAAATCAAGTAATAAACAATAAATAATCAAGATACAAGATCTTACTTGTGGTATCATTAGTAGAATTGCCAGGATATGCTATTGTAAATAAATGTCCACAACTCTGAGGTTTAAAATGCATGATTTCAGATAGTTGTGTATCTTCAGACTGATTTTCTTGTTGCATTTCAATTAATCTAATATTTCGGCAAGTCGATTCCACTAAAATCGCGTGTAATTCAGTTGATTTCACATTCAAATTTACTAGTGATAATGCATCAATATGTAAGTTGCATTCTAAACTATTGAAGGATTCTGCAATATAACAAATATATGATAAATTAGGAATATTATGTATTGATATAAATTAAATAAATCAAATATTTTTCTGTAGTATTCACTTTTGATGTGTTGCAAAATAGGAGCATATCTAACAGATTCTTCAGAATTTCTCTCGCTTGATATCTTTAATAACATGTTTGCATGTATAACTTTCTGAAAATTAACAAAATAAATAAAAATACTCTGATATAATTTATGTTTAAAGTAGTATATATGAATTTTAGCTAAAGGCACATACCACAGGTCCAGTATTATAATTTACATTACTTGATCCAGTTGAAAATTTCTCCTGGTCTTTGGACACAGATAAAATATCTTTTAACATTATATCTTTTAAATTGTCATCAGTTCTGAAGAGGTATGCATCATTCAAAGGAAAACGTATTCCTATTTTTCCAGATGCAATCTACAGTGCAAAATTATATGATATACAGTATATACAAGACAAAAAATATGATGTAAAAATGTTAATCGAAAGGAAAACATTTTATTTACATTTTTTCGTGATTCCTGCAAAGCTTCTGATATATTCCCATCCTGAGCAATCAATGGTAGAATTGCTTGTAATCTAATATATACAAATTGTCGAGAAAGATCATCTTCGCTAATAATACTAAGATTATTTATAGCTTCTAATTTTTGATGAACATAAAAATATGCTTGTATATCCAACGTATTGCGTGAATATTTTAAAAGTAGTGGATTATCTGTAATATCAATGTCCTAAACAAACAAATGTAATATAAGAATGAATGGAATAAGATAGATAAACAACAAATCTAATTTGTAATTACCTTGAAAACATCAGTATTTATTTCTTCACATTCACCAATATGTAATATGCCACAAAAATATATATCTGCAGGTAAATTCAATTGCAGTGCTGTATAATCTGTTAGATTGTTTTCACTATTACATGAACTTATACTGAATGTTAGAACTATGAGAGTATCATTGTACATAATACCATAAAGATAGCCAGTCGTTGCGATTTCTAAGTTTTCTAATCGCTAAAAGTATTATTTTATTTAAATATTAAACACATACATTAGCATTACTAATATATTTTATCTATTAAATATATAGAAACATAGCACTGTCTTATATATAAATAATAAATTTAGAATAAAGAGGATATATTATCCGCAAAATACTGTTCTTTGCAAGAAATATATTACAAGTGATCATAAAAACTTGAGAAAAAAATATAAATTATGTTTTCGTATCATTAATATAAATGTGCTTGATTACATTTACCTGCAGAATGTTGGACAAAATCTGCAATTGCGGTGCCATCGTGTCGTATTGAAATCAGAAAATCTTACACGATCAAAGATGCTTCGTGCTGCCAGCAAGAACAATCACCATATGGTGATAACAGGAAATCACAATTGAATTGAATTTTCAGATACGAGCCACCTAGATTGGGAGGTTAAATTCGTTCTTGTTGATAAATCTCGAAATAAACGCATAGCAAATTGTTCGATCCGACTAAATCAAATTCTAGTACTTAATCACTTGTCCAGGATAAGAGAACACTCTTTTACATTCGAATCTACATTTTCATCAAACCACCTGCGAAAATTCTGTTCGTGTCAACGACGCATTCGAGCACTTAATCTGACCTAATTTGAAATGATTTTATGTACGATTCAGTGGAAAGTCGTTTCATGCAGATTTTTAAGAATGATAACAAAGAAATATCTTCCTTTTTTAATGACAAAAATATGATGAGAATCACGTAAAAGCAATTTGCATATCAATAAAAAATGCAAAAACATTTATTGTGTACAAGACTGCTTTCACGTTTGAAAATGGCTACTTGAGCAACTTCCGAATTGAACGCATCACTTACGTCGCTGTATTTATGATATTTTATTTATGATATTTATAGCTATATGATATTTATGGACTAAAAAAAAACTGATTTAACTTAAGAACTTTCACTTTGATAGCTTTGAATGTTCAAGAAAGACATTTAAGTAATGTGATGCAAATATTTTTGTTAAAAAAATGTACTTGAATTTTTTTAAAGTTATTAAAATTGTCAGAAATGTATTCCGATAATAATAAGATAATAATAAAAGTTTGAATTACTTTTAAAATTTCTAACATCTTTCAGTCTTGACAAAACATCATAATAGAAAAAAACATCAATATATTTCAATAACAGATATTTACTATAGATAGAACTATTAAGATATGCTTTTTTCGAAATATTTAGAGAAATATAGAGAATCATTATTTAATTTTACGTCATTTACGGAATAACTTCAAAAAGAGATAGCGCAAATTGGAATTTTTTGAAAAAATTATCAAGTTGTTAGAAGATTTTTTGATAAAAATATAGAATATATATATATATATATATATATATTATAAAAGCTAAAACGCGTGTCTTTCGAAATTTTCAAAAAAGAAGTAATCTTATCAACTGATATATTCTGAAGATTATCGAAATTTCATTGACCCAGTTTACATCGTGCATTTGATACTAGAATATTAACTAGTAACTTTCTATTGAATGATCCTAATTTCAGCGATACGTATAAACATATATATTATATGTGTACTTAATTAATTATTTTGATGCATATTGTACCAATTTACATTATTCTTTGAATACATTGAAATTAAAATAATTTAATAGAAAGTTACTAGTTAGTACATGCACGATGTAAACTTATAGCGTTTTCGGTCCGACCGGGTTTGCACCAACTTGGGTTAGAAAATGCTTCGCTATTGACGTTACACGCTCTACCAATAGGAAAGCACGAAACATCATTATTTCAACTCAAGTTAGTGCAAACTCGGTCGAGTCGAAAACGCTATAAGCAATTATTCTAAATACAATACATGGCTGCGTTTAGTGAACTCAAGTAGCCAGAAGTTGTTTGATGTCTGTCGTCCTCTGAGGTCTATATTACGCATTCCTCGATCTCTTTTTTCTTTAACGTTGTTTTCTTTCTAACAATAAGAAATCCAATGGCCGAACCAATTGACATTAGATACCAATCAGCATTGGCACTACTCTTTTTATACAGGTACCTATTATGTGGAAGAAGACCGTTCTGTTTGTTTTTTCTGTTGAAAAAAATTATCAATTTAGAGAATTTTATAAATATTTTTCGTATTTTCCTATAATTCTGTAAATTTGTGTATTTTCATGCGTAGAATATATTTTGAGAAG